TTTACATAACCCCCTTTAATTTTCCATAAAGCGCGAAACTATTGAGGTATGCAAAGTGAACTAATTCATCCTCATGCAAGACAAAAACGTGTAATGATGATAATTCTATAAATAATTTAATCCGATGAATGTTATAGGTGTATTAGATTCGTGAGATGCTCATTTTTGTCCAAGATAAATGATAACCATGACTGTGTGGTATGGAGAGGGGGGGGCCGGGGGGTGGTGGTGGTCACGTTTTGGCGCGGGACCGTATTCGCAGTCTAGAGATAGATCGTTAGACATCTATTTTAGAACAGTTATTCGGTTATGTACGATGAGCGATACCACCAGGTGTATCAGTGTCGTTTCCATATGGAATTTGTACACATATGGTAACAGTATGTAGGTGCAAGATGACATTTGGTTCAAAAACTCTTTATTGGATGTGGTGACAGTGTACGCTTGATGCGGTTAAGATCTGAAGTCATCAATACGCACAATTTAAGGCTGGCTGGTAGACGATAAGATCGAATAGAAACTGATAAAGTTTCTGCTTGTTTAGCCGACTCGAGGCTTTCATTCCTTATCCTCCGAAAACGGTACACCTAGCGAATCAACCTATCGATGTAATGCTAAATTCTATAATTTCATTTTGTGCCATGGCTTAAATGCCCCATCGAGTATAGATGTTTGTTCTGTTTGCCTTATGTACCAGTAAATTGGTATTGCGTCTCTGTAAGCTTTCCACGTAATGTTAAGATTAAGCAATACGTGCGGCATTTTATTGAGTATGGCCTCCGGCTACTTTACTAATACGATTGCCGGAACCACACGGCTACTTGTTGAGTTGCACCGTTGACGGCATCGATAACCTATTGAGCTAAGCCTATTTCAAATGTGTTTCCGTTAATTGTGGTGATTCCAAGACTTCCAAGCGAAGTTGTGCCAGGTGTGCCCTCATCTGTGGACACGAGCTCACAGACTATCGGCGTTAATTCAGGCTGATGAGTCGACGGTTTCTAAGCATCCGTTGGTTCTTTGGTACTGATGGCTGCAGCGGTCGTCTTTTTGTTGCCCTTGAAACGGTCGAGCAGAATGGATGGGTCAGGTTTGTTGCTTTCGGTAGGTTCGGTGCGTGAAAGAAGATGTCGTTGACCGCATGAGACCTGCGAAAGAAGCAACATGTTTTCCTACTGGCTAGCTTGAAGCAGGAACAGGCAGACGAACTCTCGAGGGACACGACGAGTGCATGTAATACGGAGATACAGTGAGTTATGCAAAGAAGAAACAGATCGTCTTAGGATCACGCCTACTCATGCTTCCTTCCTTCCTTCCTTCATACGTTACTTATGTGAAGCAAGCCGCAGTAGCAGAGGAGATCGTGTTGCTCATTCGTGACCATAAGGCGTGAGACAGCGGGATCACAATGACGAACGCAGTAACAGCTGCAGCATCATAAGTCACTAATCTTCACGCACGAATATCCACTGGCGAAAAGGGGTAAACAAACCCAAAATCGGTCAGCTTAGTATGGGACCATTCACTTCAGATCATTATCAAAGGGTTAATCTTTTGAAGTTTTGCTGCCTGATCATAATAGCGGAATATCGATGATGCAAACACTGACAATCTGTTTGCTAGTGAAGTCCTGAGGTATACCCTGAGCGAAAGTCTGAGTAAGCTGTTTGTTGATTCCTATCAACCAACGGGCTGCATACTGTACATAATTGACACGCTGAATTTTTCACTCAGGCGACGTAGCGTAGAGGGTGATTCCACGCTTAAGTTAACAATTTTTTTTCTATAACTGAATGGTTGCGCATAACTGGGGCTCAGCTTTAGGATCAATATATTATATATCGCGCGTAATAGACAGAATCAGAGGGCCCTAAAATAAGACTGGCAGCCACGTCTGGTAGGCTGTAGGTAAACCTTGATTTTTATGTCAAACAACATGTAAGTATTTACATGAAACGTAATAAATCACTGTAATTATCAGTTAACAGTTTTATTAAAATGTAGCTCATGAGAAAGCAATCTTTGTTGAAATCTCTTTTTTTTCACGAGATAATACGGACTTCTCGAGCGCTCATGTTACCTGACCGTTCAAGTTCGTCTCCTACGTAACTATTGCCACTTAGCTAAAATTGATAATTTTTTTGAAGTATTGATAATGCTCGGTTATACCATTCTATATAATGACAACGATTTTGTTCTGAAATACATAACAAACAATTACCCTGTGGCTAATTATAGCCCGATCACGGTAAATAACGAGCACAAGATTTCTGCGCTTGTTGATGGTCGTTTTAATTGCGGGGTACTATCATCTGGGATATTATTATTATTATTATGCTTCCAGTAAGGATATTCATGGCTCCAAAACACATGGTAAGATATAACGTCTGCTAGTCAACCATATTTTTCTTTGTTTTCTTTTAAATACATCGCTTAATTCAGAACTCAGAGATGGCTCTCTGGTGCACTTGGTAAGCTTTTTTTTTGGATAATTTCAAAGATAAATGTATTTTGTAATATCTCATTCAAAGTTACAGGCATTACATTTTGCAATACATTTTTATTTTGTTTGAAAACTTCTCATGTTGGCAAAACGGTCCCTTTTATTATACTTTCACCGTGGTAAAAGACAAAACGATTTCATGAATCGCTTGTATAACAGCCGTTCTACAGATCGATCAATATATGAGTTTAATCGGCAGACCCTGTACATGATTAATATCTGCGTTGGACATTCTCGAAGTTTTTTCCGTTTATTGTGAATTTGTACCGTTACTTCCAGTGTCTCTACTGCACAGAGCCTTAATACAGACGACGATCTATTCGACCGTCCGTTTAAGGGATGATTTTCCCGCTTTACTCTCACTCAAACACCATTATCGTTGTAGACAATAGACAATATTGCGACATCCGATTGTAGCTATCGCTCTCGTTCCAGCGGCGTAAATCCGTTCTGTTCTCGCGTCGTTTTGAAAGAAGTTGGGTCTCTGCGTCGTTCCGGTGCTCGAAAACTTCAGTTTTTAAAAACGTATGTTGGTCTACTGTGCTTTTTCAACTTGTTATTAGTTCAGTACACTGGAACTTCTTCATTTGGTTTCCCCGTTTGATTCACTGCACGCCGGCATCTATTTATGGATTTGTTTGTTTTTTTTTTCCTTTTTATACATATCTAAAGTTATGAATTTCTTTAGAATTGCGCAAATCTCTATAAACCTGTACAACTTACAATTGAGCCTATGTATTTAATCCATTGTTCTAGGTAAAAAAAAAAAAAAAAAATCAAGGTGTCCGTTTCGTTCAGCTATAGTACACAAAAGACCACATCCACTTTCACATTGTCATTTGTCTTTTCACAGCTACGTTTGCTCTGCGTCGACTCCCAAACAACACCTCTATGGCCATCTATGCGTTTCGTGGCACCAACGAATGCTTCCTGGCTATTAGCGGCATAATAAGTAGAGAAAAGTTGAATCATAAAGTGCATAAGGCGATATGGATCGATCACAAAAACTATATACGTCAACTAAATACCTTAGTCATTGAAAATAGAGAAAAATTATACAATTATTTCCTGCTGCAATTATAAGTCTCTGACCTGGTCTCAATTATACGAATTGGCGGGTCTGACAAGCTTCGCTTGTGAGCTATACACTGAAGTCGCCAGTTTGTTCCGTTACTATGTATCCTTCATTTTAACAATGAGAAATCATTTTTAAAAAAGGTGACGCTCGAAAAACAACCTTTACATGATATAAACGTACGTATGTATGCCTATTTTGTATGCGCGCGTTCTATGATTAGTTGTTTCGTGTCCGCGATCATGGGAATATATGCCTGATAAATGTTGAACAGCGTTACCTTTGTTCAGAGTGATCATTTTTCTTCCTGTCGTTAGGTGCCATCATAGCTGACCGCAGCTTAAAAAGTGACCAACGCGGCATAAGCAAGGAAGGAGTGGAAGGACGCATCATCATATCGAGGTGGATATACAGGACGGCTGCTGTGAGAGAAATCATATTTGCAGTGATAATGACCGACTTGAAATATTGTGTGTCGTGACCTTTGAATTTCATAGAGCTTTTACTATGGGGCAAATTGGAAATCTAAAATGCGGTAGCTAGTTGGCAATCAGTGACTACGTTCAATCTATTCGACACTCCTTTAGAGCTGACAGATGGGAGGGTGCACAGTGAAAAAAGAAGTTAACCGTAAATAGCCGATCGAAAAGCGAGACAAGCAACAGTATTTCCCCGTGGCTAGAGCTGTGGGTAAAATAGTGGTAATAATCCATTCTGTTCTGTGTTTGACTTCAGTAAAAGTTGAGTACCAATAAGCATGCACTGTCTATAACGAACTTTAACACCTAGAAATAGCGCAAATGCCGCAGACGACAATTGGGGACAGGCTGTAAGTAAATAGCGAGTGCACAGGTGGTCCTAAAGGTGGCAGAATCATCATTCTCAGAGTGCCCGGAAAATCAGGCATCTCACACGAATCATGCTTGGTTGTCTCGTGTCGAAATTCATAGTTGAAATTATTTCAAGCCCTGATTCTTTAGAAAATACAGGTCTGTCACTAACCCACTTCGAAAATCCGCATCTTTCTTTTCTGTGTCTCGGGTTTTACGTCCGATATTCATTCTCCGTCCGATAGGCATTCCATTAGACGGCTAATTCCCAGCACAAGAAAAAAGTTGGCTGCCTATGCCCGGGTTCAAACCTAGACCACGACGTGTACTAGAAGGCACGAACGTTACCCATTAAACAATCAAGGGAATAGGGCAGGAGAACCTTAACACGCTTGTTGTAACGTCTCATTACAGATAAGAGAACGCATCAGTTTTAGGATAAAAATACAATCGTTTGCGTATCGTCTCGAAGGCGAGTCTAGGCGGACGGGCACCGCAAGATCCAGATAAAACCAAATTTTTTTCCCATTGTCTTCTTCTACTAATGGTTATCTTGAGTGCTACTAATATCATTTCAAATTAATGCGAAAAAGTTTCAACATATTCATATAATGTTGCCCACTAAAATAGGCTTGCATTTTGAAAGAACAACGCGTTAGTTCCTGCATAAGGTACTCCTTCCGCGTCTTTCACAGCGAAACTCGATGTCCGCGTTGTCTTGAGCTTAAGCCGTATGCACTATAATATATAGCTCTTTGTGGAGCTGCTTTCTTCTCAAGGATCAAAAGAAACTGTAGGAAAAAGCTGGAGAGCGATTAAGGAAGTCTATGGTAAACGAAGGCCGAGTGAGAATCCATTCGTACACTTGCATTCAAAAACTGTTTTGAGGATTGGAAGAGATGGTGACACACACATACATAATGCGGTGCGGATTACTTCAGAGGGAATCGGGACGACTCAAGCATGCGCAGTTAGCAATGCTTGTCTAACCTAATTGTATAGGACTAAAAAAATCCAATGGCCAAATCCAAAGTGGTATCCTAGATCAAAAAGGCACTTCCACAGTAAGATGGACCAGCAGTGTTCCTTTGTACAGCCGTCGTATAACAGCTCGATCCTTTTGAGGAGAGCAAGACTAACGATATTTCAAACGCTCAGAGAAGATACCAAGGAGTTTTGGATCGAGTTTATTAGAAATGGTTATCATCGTGCTAAGAAAAACGGATTGTTTTTAGCTCATTAGTAGTTGGTAAAGGCATTAGTCCAGTAGAAATGGGACCGTCATTAACGACAAAACGCTATTTAGTGTGGTACACATAGGTGAATTGTCCTGGATTCAGATGGTTTTATGGGCCAACTTTATAAGTTTATATATATTTTTATGGATCGTTCTGCCTTGTGCCGACAGAATGAACATGAAGGCAGTTCTAGCTCTGAGCAACTTTCTCTTCACATTTTTCTTTTTAACTGTAGCGGAACAAAGTTGACCAGTTTCTCAATGAGAAACACCGCAATCTGCTTCTGATCGATGTCAACTTGCTTCTGAAGAACTTTGTGTCAGTAATAACAGTCCCATCAGTTTTGTGAACGACCGTCGGCTAATAGAGGAAACGCTTCTTCTGATCGATCATTTAAGTAAAAGGTCATAAGGAGACGATCAATGCTGCGCGAACATCTCAGCGCTTTTCAGTCATCGATAAAGCAGATTCTTTAAACTCAACAGAAGCAATTTAACGAGAAAAACAAGACTGGCCCCTTGCCAAGCCATAAATTGTACCCGGCGATGTTAATCATGATAGAAACTCGTGATGATAATAATGTAGAAGTTGCGAAATGTTTTCCACGCCGTTAGTTTCCAAAAAATCAAATATGGATGGTGCTTACGAAAAACCAATTGCCCTTGGTTCTTCTCGTGGATATTCGAATTGACTCGGTGTTGATAAAGGCTGAATAGATCGAGCCTATCGTATATGTGCTATAAACGTAAACAAATGCTCAAGGAAAGCAATCAGATAATGGCATTAATAAAATAGATGGTAGATCGTAACGGATTCATTTAGCAATCGACGTCCAAATACGAAATTATACAAGCTAAGATAACGGAGCCAACTTTCTGCTTCAGCAAATCTCACAGGCAAGACCAGTGAAGACTTCACTTTGCTCTTTTAAAGATTCGTAATGTTTTGCCAAAAAAATCCGCCGATGAATCAAAGATCTCTGAGAAGTTGTGAATATTTTCTCAGGTGCAGAAGACGAAAAATTTCCTCAAGGGAAAAACCTCATCGATTAATTGCAGCCTTCTTAAAATGTTGACGTTCTGTTAACCAACCGGTCGTACTACTGCTGTATCATCGATTTTTGATAGTTTTCAGCCAAAGTGGTAGTTAGTAATATGCACGCTCAAAAAAAACTGCACACACAATAATGTTCAACACTTTCATAAACATTTACATGTATACGTACATATATTGCTGATAAAGAAGATATCAATAATGCATATATACGGTACTGTGCACTTCCCAAAACAATTGGCCGGCACACTTCGTTACAACCATTTGCCATTGATCACAACATTTTTGTCTTCAACCTGATTAGTAGAGTATTTGCTTTGATATTGGTGCTAGACTGTTGTTTTATTTTTGTTTGTTTGTTTGTTTGTTTGTTTGTCATTAATGTACATTCAGATGGCAAGACGAACGTGCTCGCTCTGCTTTGTAAAAATGGCGTTGATTTGCTCCTACATTGGCCGTCTGCGGTACCTGTAAAATCAAGTAAATTTCTATTTGCATGAAGTGTTTTCGACCCCATTGTCATTGTTATCATCATCAATGTGCAACATAACGCTCTTAAATCGTCCTTCTATATTTGGTCGTAAATCTTCGATAAAAAACGTTTATGAAGAAGCGGAAGAGACATCCGATACGATGCGTCCTGCTCTGAATGGTGCGACGCGGTACTGTGTTTTCTTTTTCTGTTTCTCAGATCTCTATACGGCTGATTTCGCGCCGTACGCCACTCTAAGACTCAGATCACAATATGGCCTTTCATTGCTTGTATTATCTTACGTACGTAATATGGCACGTCCCTGGGGTTCCGCTGCTACCAGGTCCATTGAATGATGACAACGTCGCAGATTCAGCTGTCGCCTGCTGTAAAAGCCCGAAAGTAGTCGTTCAGAAATTATACAAAGCCGCTGCTGCTATAATGCCGCTTCGCTTGTCTAGGTACGTTTATGCATAAGTGCAGTCGCTTGTGTTCTTGTTTATACCCATGTAAAACGCCGTTAACCACTGTGACAAAGGTCTGCTCCTGTGCCCCCTGTCTGCTTCATAGAATAGAAATAACGCCGCCAGAGACTGTGAAGAACGGGGCTCACCATCAAAGCATGGCTGCAGTTGACAACTTACAACTACGTCATGGTTTGATGATATACGACGAAAGGCAAGAGCCTACCATAGCGGGGCTTAGTAGTGAGCGCTGACAAGAACTGGCAATTAGACGTACGTAGCCTGAACGCAATGAGGAGAGGGGAAAGAAGAGGAAAAGTAGGTAGACAGATACCACCTTCGACAAGCTCTTTGATGCATAGCATCTGGCGTTGTTGTTATTGTTGTCTGCTGCTCTTTCTGACGCCGGTCAGAAAAGCAGGTGTCTCTTTCTGTCCTTGCTTACAGGCTAAACGATCTGCTGTAACCCTCTCCACGGAAGAGGCTAAACAGTAGTACTATGGTCAGGCGCTTCGATGCAATGCTACACGGTTTCTGTGGTAGCTGCGGACCAGCCAATAGTAACTGTGGCCATCTTTGGCTATATTATAGTTAGAAGGGTCCGCTAAAGTTAGTTGGCCAGGATATACGCACGAGATGCAGATCAAGCAGACTTTATAATGTCGCGCTTGTTATATTGTCGCGACGTTAAATAGTGACTATCAGTAAATAACTGGGGAACTACGATCCAACATGTTTAGGGTATGAGGTGCCTCCGGAAATGAGGTTCACGTAGGTACCTTTCGTCTCCTCCGAGATAGAAAACTTACAGGATCGGCTGACGATAATTGTTTCGCATACATACATGCGTGTGACGTTTAACTGACGCTTGAGTGATTCTGAAAAATCTCACGGAGGAGACATACACATCCTCAACCAGTTTCATGACTTCATGTATAATTTCGTTGCGTGCGTCTTAGCGATCGCTTACGTTTCTGCTAGAGCTGCCCCTAATTTCGTTGCTGGCTTTTATCTCTTCATTATTATTTCAGTTTTTTGAGTTAAATGTGATGTATTATACTACACGGCAAACGCAAGTAAATAAAAAATCATTTTGTTTCACTTAACAAACTACTCGGCGAGACGCGATTTAATCGGCACAGAGGGCCCCCGCATAAAAAGTATAGACCGAGCTACTATTTCCCGATAATTTAGATCTTAAATTCTACAGACCCATCAATAAGAATTATCTATTGTACGAATTGTTTGTTATTACCTGGAGAACATTAAATAAGCAATGATTTTTTCTTAATGAGTATCCGGTAGTTTTTATTAACGAAAGCGGGAGACTATTCATGCAGCCTGCGTTACTTTGCTCGATATCTTAAAGTCCAGGAAACTTTGTCACTTCAAAGAAAGGACGCATTGTCTCTATTGGGCTGAGCTACTGAAGTCCTCTAAACGACTGGCGTATAATTGACCATAAGTGAAACTTCCACTTGAAGTACAAGGCGTCTACCAAATTGTATAGAAAAGATTCATATTGCTTATCGTGTTCAGTAATCAATTACCTTTGGCTGTCTACACACGTCCACTTTACATCTCGTTAGCCTTCATTAGAGATACGTCGTTGAGTCTCTCGCTTCGCAAAAGCAAATGGCCTTTCCTTATTTCTTGACTCTTTCCTTTTACATGCATGATCATATCACATCATTTTGGAACGACAAAGCTACCGATTGAGCAATCACTGATGGATCAATCACAATGGACATCTGGACTATTGCGTCCTGACCGAACACGTTCATACTCGACGCTATATGCTGTCCCAATTCATTGATCTTGTCCAGAATGGTCCCTTTGAGCCAGCGGTAATGTTTTGCTAATACGATTGCAATGATTGTTTCTATCGATCGTATTACGTGTCTGTTATTTCTTAGCATCGAGGGGAAACCTCGTGTTCGCAATAGACTTTGCTAACTTCTCAACGTTTGACCACAGCTAGAAACGAGCGCAGCTATAACCGATGATTTACGAAACGTCAGCCTGACAACGACGATGATGTAGAAAAGGCAGCAGCGAATAACGCCTGTGCTCACTGAAGACCCTTCAAACGTTCTCTGTATGCGCGATACGAATCTGTAGGGAACTGCAATATAGAGAAACCTTGAAGGTATAGAAATACAGCAAGACTGCGACTATTTCTTCACAATGCAATTTTTAGGAGACAACAAAACTGTCCACTTGGCAAACTATTACTATTGGCGTACGATGCGTTGGCAACAGATACACAAAGATAGCCATTAACACGCTCATTTTATAATACCAACAGGGAATACAGATATATCGAAAGATCGTCAGTATGGCTAAGCTCTGAAAGGCTTACGTAATCGCGTAGCGCGTAAATGAGCGACTGTGAGATTGCGTGGTGCTCATATTTTCAGACAGAGGAGAAGCTAAGACTTGACGTTATCAGAGTCATCATTAAACAATAGATCTCTAAAAACAAGTTGTAGGCCTTAATGAAAAAAATTTGACCGCACTTGTGTCCCTTGGAAGGTATTTTCTAAGTAATAGGGTGAGCTTACTGAAGAACTATATCGCTGATGTAAAACTACAGATTTAGAAAATTGCCATACTCCTAAAGTTGCTCAATTAATAAGTGCAGGCATTGACGTTATCGAACCATTGTCTATCTCCCAAGGCTCGTATTTACATTTATGGATACAAACATAGTTACTTTCGTGAGCTACACTGCTCTGCGGAATAATACAATCTTCATATCGTATCTGGAGGATCTTTATTTTTTTGAGACACATAAATGCAGATGAACATGTTTTCGAGAAACAGGAAATTAGGTAAGAAGACCGCTCAACATGTCGACGTCGCTAAGATAAGCGTTTGTTGTTGGTTAAGGTTAATTAAATTTTAGTTAGTAGTATAAGTTAAATTAAGGTTTAGCACCTTAATAAAGAAAAAAAAAAAGATCCGTCGTATGCTATGTTTCATTTAGCAAAGGTGTTCTTGTTGCGTCTACAAATATATCTACAAACTGTACAAATAGACGTACGACTTAATTGAACAAGTAGCAATGATCTATTATAAAACGCCTTACCGACCCACCGAAAATCTTAGCCGAAGTACGAGCCAGCGCACAAATTCAGATATACGTTGCATTTATATTCGCATATTTTTTTGGGAAGAATCCAAGTTTTATATGGAAACTTCGAAAGATCGGAAAGGATCATTTCCGACTCTACAGTATAATCGTCAAACCAAGTAACCGAGGATAATTGTACTTACCTCTATTTAATTTCCTGACAGAAACTGCATACCAGTCCTAGCGAGAATTGTTCATCTTTACAAGAACAATTAAGACGGCTATCGGGAGCGATTAGGCGGTCGTATCCGTTATCGAAGAGCGCTACGGCGCTAGCCCTCATTTGGCTAAGATGAATGCCAACAGTGTGCCAAGCGGGAATATGGCCGACGCTTTTGTTCGTTTAGCAAAGACTACCCAACGGAACTCTTCTATTTGATTACCAACTAAATGTGGCTTGATATTTGTCGTACTTGGCGGAACTTGAAAACTTATCGGGAGTAAAGTGGCAGTCCCGTGAAGATGTCGTCAAGACGTACTTTTGGTTTGCCTATTTTTTTTAACCTGCATATGTTCTTACCGGCTTTATCGTTATCCAAAACTAAAGCCCATTTTGAAGTTTTATTCTAAATTTTGGTTCAAAGCTTTCTCAGATAAATGTACGACGATCGTACCAAGTCGACTTTGAGCCGCGTTTTCAGGGGTCTATTGGGGGACAATGAACCAAAAGTACCTGAAAAACGTGTACGGTTTTCAACGACGGTGTGTTACAAGTGTCGAAAAGACAAGCTAAGGAACTGAAAAGTCGAAAGTTGCTTTACTTCGGTTTGATGATATTTTGGGCATCGTTGATGCGTACGAACGTGGCACATTCAGGCACCGTTGGGGATATCGATTTATGCATCAATTTAGGCTTCTGGCGTTAGGCTAGCGTAGTTGTCGAGGCACGCTCGGAAGCTTGGAATGCAGTTGCGTGCTTGGAATAAAGAAGCAACAATAACAACGGCAACAACAACCTGACAAAAACATAGTTGCTGAGGACGGTATTCGTCTTACTGTTCGCCAGTATAGACTTTTCAGTTGTGGGTTAATAACAAACCAAACAGGAAAGCAACAAATCATGATTCTCACCTAATACTATTTATCAAACTTCATAGGTGCCGGCTTTACCTTCATCAGCGCCATTAGAAGCGACAGTACCAACTATATCGTGAATATGCTCATCATCGACTATGATTTCATTGCAAGGATGCCATGCGTACCATGTTAGAGGGAGCTTCTTCGGTCTGCTGCGTGAAAACGATTGGCTTTGGTAACTTCCGTCAGCTCCTTGATGTGTGTTCTATGCATTAGCAATATAGCGACATTTAAGCATCGCTAAATTGGCTAGCTATAGACGTCGACAACTGTAGTACTTTCAGCCTAATGTGCAACAGGCTTTCCCTTGTCTATCTTTCCGACCGGGGCATTTTCGTTGCGCGTTTCCTTTGTCTCCATCATCTTTTTGTTTTCACTAATGCTCTTCCGAATCAAGACACTGAACATGCGCGGTCGCCGATGCCCGTGGCGTCCAGGGCGGGCAACATGTCAACAGACAAACACACGCTAAAGTACATAAATAGACTTGCTCGAACGGATAGCGAATCAGCTGGCCGTATTTTGCGTCAAAAGCTGTGATGGCGCCACCAGTCGGGTTGCCGTGCTAATGGTGGCTGATGGTGATGGAAGTTCGTGCGTACGTGGTCACGCACGTCAGTTGCACGTCTGCTTCCTCTGCTGGATACGCGTTCTTGCTGTAGCTATCGCTTCCGGGGTATATCGAAAGAGTTCTCTATAAGGTTGAGCTCATTAATAACGCTGGTTGGCCGTGTTGTTGGTGTCGATCTCATGTTGATACATCTATTTAGGTGAACCTTCTCAACTATTGTACTTGATTAGTTTTCTAGAAGATTAAAACAGGTCTAATTTTAAATCGTGCACCCTTATCATGCTCTACGTATATATATATATATATATATATATATATATATATATAGGAGGTAGAAAATGTGCTTATCAGCTTGAAGGATGGAGAGGACGGTAAATGAACGACGGCTTAACGAAGGCTATTGCCAACGTAATCCCCCTGTTTCCACCGGCACCTGTTGAAACAGGTCTGTAAATAACAGGTCAATTGAAAAGCCCGATCTGACCGTGTTCCCGATGAATTTCCGCACCACTTTTTAACTTGCAGAATTGGCCGTTTGTGGGGGGTCAGGTACAAAGGAGCAAGGAGAGCATGATCCAAAGGAATGCCTGTTATGCCATTTTTTGAACCAGGATCAGCTCAGGAATCGAAACTGATTACGCCTTCAGGAACGCAAGGTGTTTAGCCGGTGCGATATAGCGATGTGTGTCTATTTAAGCTAATTTCCTTCATTATTTATTTAGTTGCTGGCAATAATAAGAATAAATTTACTATGTGTTACCAAAAATCTACATATATTAGGAAGTCAACTACTCGGATCCTGTTATTTTTCAAATTCACTGATTTTCTTTTCATTTACCCAGATCAATTTACCTTCATTTTCGAATTCAGCCCTCATACTTACAATTCGAGCGATACGAATAAAGTCAGCAATCGATGGAGAGTACTGTTCATTTTCTGAACGATTTAATTCAGATCAATCGATTGGTTACTATTTGTTAGAAGATTCTGTTTCTAGTGCCATAGCTGAACAGCTCTTTAAACCTACTATTTTCAACGAATACTTCCAATAAGACTATGAATGATTGTCAATCATTTTAACTGCCACCCTCGCTCGGAACCCTAGATCTAATCTATCGCATGGATCAGTATTTGAGATGCCGAGCAATTCATCGGATACGATCCGTCTAATATCCATTTGTGTTTGTACAAATGCGTGAGCAACGAGCGGACGGAATTGTCAGCGGAAACGGTTGACCATTGAGACTTTGTTCGATGTACTCATAGAGCCAGAGAAGCAGGTTTAGCCCTTGGAGGAGCCCTACTTTGATTCTCTCTGCGGTTCATAGTTGATGTGTTATATATCATCGGCACGATATCTAGGTCTCCTCCTTTAAGCAGATAACCTCTGAAGGTTCAAAAGGGTACAGCGTAGTCTGAGAGACAGTTCCGCTTTTGCATCTGAATGAGCAGTAAAATGACGCCTATCAAATGAGGCATCCGACAAAATCAGTTCCGACATATGTCCTGATTTCTGGCGGTAGAATTAGCAAAGGGAATTATGAAGATTACGAACGCCTTTTACCTTTGCAAATACGGCCTTCCGAGATCTAGATTATTTCAGCTCGAAAAATGCAATAATAAACATATGTGGACGGGATGAAAGAACAGAACTTCAAGAGGTTGCCTGCTTCTGATTTAATGTTATTTTCAACCGAAATAGTAGTCAATAGTTGGTGATAGAAAGTAACTATTAAAAACGCTAGGAAAGCTGAACAAAATGAAGCTAGAAAAAACTTACTTTCGTAAAGCTCAGAATCTACCTTCTCATAATTAGCATACCGCTGTCGCTGAAAACCAAACCACCCCTTAGATTGGAAGAAAAATTTGTTACAAACCTTACGTGTGGGCCTCTTGTCTTCCTTTGAGTAGCGCACAGCTGTTCTGGTCATTTACGTAAATCAACACGTATATAATCGCTGGAATATCGGTCTTGGGCCAATGGTTGTGATTCATGACTTGGTGGTCGCTCTTTTTTGGCTTTGCCTTTTTGTATCGCCGGAAGGTTGAGGTCTTTCAAATTACCGAGACAGACGGGCAACAACGCTAACCGTTGTCGAGTTGAGATTTCACGCCATCATCCACCACATCAACACCTATACCACCATCCTTGGAGAAAGAAACCACTACGATAAAGAATTGCTGTTTTCAGACCGTCCTTCAGTAAAATCCTACGCATATATATATATATATATATAGGTGTGGAAGATTATAATATATACCATAGCATTATAAAATGCGTAGTTCTGTATATGCGACTGTTGTTTCAGGCGTGCCAATTGGCTTTGCTGATGTTAATTGGTATTCACTGTTATCCACGCTCACCGTCTGGCCATAGGTGGAAAAGGGCTTAGCATTTTTTGTGCGTGCAGTTTTTAGTATACGTGCGCCCATGTGTGTCTTAGTTATGTTCGTATAGGCGTTATAGGCCCTGGTCAACAACGCCTTTAGCCTTCCCGGTCCTGGCGGTCGCTGTGCATCGCGTCCTAATCCAGCTTTGCTAAGCTGACAGAAAGGACATGGCTTTTTTTGCGTTGCTGGAGCAAGAGTTCTGACAATAGTATAGGAACATCGGCTCGAGTATTGCCACATGAAATATTGTAGACTGAATAGTTGGGCCATATGCGTCGTTCCGTAAAGACTTGTACGTAGTAAAATGACCTTCTTCGTGTGCGTGTGCGCTTTCAAAGATGATTGAAAACATTTTTACGGTGTATGCTCTGTGGACTATCGGGTTAGACGGAGTAACGGCAGACCGTAGCTGGTTTAGCCCTATTAATAGGAAACCATTTTCCGAGTGTATCTGATTAAGTGACTGAATGACTAACGAACAAACCTGTACGCAAATGTGATAAGACGTTAATGTATATATTGGCAATTGCAGCGCAGGCCGATATACTGACGATACTACGCAAGGTAAGAGAAACGCGATGATAGATATAATTGGTCACAGGGTTCTAGGTGATCCTCAGCTCTTTAAACGTACAGTAAAGACAAAGCGCTGAACAGATTCGATGTTCTATTTAGAACAACAGTATAGAACTGTTGGCCGAAATGTAACTTCGTTTAAATGACAAGGAACAGAAGACGAAAGATGAAGATCAGAATCAGCTGTGAAATGGTGACTCGATTAAAAAAGATATCGCTCTTCGCACCAGCTATAATATAGCAATAATAATTATTAATAGTATACTGCTTGCGGAACTCCAACGAAGCAATAAATAAATCGATTGCTTTTCTTCTGGCTTCATGAAGGCAGACATAATATAGCTTCAGTTATGCTGGCGTTTCTGAATCTTTCGGACGGAATCGAAAGCGATTGGGGAATATCACTCGATAATGGCAACGGCAGCATCACGTACGTGAATATACCAATGAATCGCTAATACCGTTGTTACCATAATTACTGTAAATGAATTCAGTTTATTTTATGCATATAACCGCTTCAACCCGAAGACGCTTCTTTCTGTAAATTAACCACAATTGCATTTCGGCTATTTGTGGCCAGTACAGACAACCCAAAAAGTCAGCAGATGGCTGCGTGTCTGCGTTTCACACAGGACACAAGCGCCCTTTCGGACTCCTAGGAAGGAGGAGTCATCGAAGAGTTTTTCGATGTGGCCAGAAGCGAACCGATGATTTGACTCGCGTCCTAGTCAACAGCGATAACAGCAAAAACACGAATACGGCTTGAACTTATTCGAGATCCAAAAACAAAATTAAATCCAGACGGCGGTGGTTATTTTCTTCTCTCGTACGATGATAACGTAACAGTAACAACATATGCTACAAACAGTAGATAGGGAGCTAGGTAGCTAGGTAGGTAGGTAGGTAGGTAGGTAGGTAGGTTCACGCGTGCACGCGTGAAATTCGCAACGATCACAGAGAACCTTGTCAGATGGATGAGTCAAATAAAAGTGGCTGAACAAGTTATCACACCGTGACGAAGTTCGCTATAATTGTGCAGATACTATGTGCGTGCGTCATGAGGTTCCCTCAAAAAGAAAATGATGCAACAGTGACCGACCGACTGACTGTTCTACCTAATCGGCGACGATGACCGTGTAGGTACGTGCTACTTGACGTTCGACAGTAACGCAGTTGGACCCTGGACCAAAGAGGGCTAATGCTGCTGTTTCTGACGGTGGAGGCAGCGGTCGAACTATAACGATGAAGTGCCCCATAGGTTGATCACATAAAATACCTGTCATGCTCAGCAGCTCTTACAAGACGAGACAGACGAGCGGAAAGGGAGCAACGAATATTTGAAGGTAAACTTCGTGTATATGGCATTCGAATCTACTTGTTATATACGGGTTAGTCTCATTTGAGTCCAGCCATCTGCGTTGGCCTACAGCTGCTGCTGTAAAAAGAATCGGACTGAGAACTGATTCCTCTCATGCTGGTGCACCTTGATACGTTTCACAGCAATAGCATCATCGGTACGAATGTCGGTAACTGTAAAAAATAGTAATAGCAATATTAATAATAATGAATTTATTAAATTTAATGCCAAATTTATGATCTAACCGTAGAGCTATAATTGTAACATTAAATTAGTCTATAATAACTATACTTAGCGATTTATATGAAGCTCGCTGTCGACAATAAGTCATTATCAGGTGAAATTCTGACGTGTCGAGAGGCATTGAAGAAGGAACCTTTGAAAGAATTGTAATACTAGTGTTTACTACGGAATACTTAGGTGCATTTATAACGTAATATAGTATTCTCTTTATTTCCTACTAGCTAAACGAACTAGGATCAAGGGTATGTGCGTGCGTGCGTGCGTGCATGCATGCATGTA